AAAAAGCCTCAAGTAGTACTACTAATTCTATAAAAACACAGTTCTTAGCAAAATATATAAGTTATGGCCGAACCGGTTTGGCTCAGTGGATAGAGCGTCAGCCGCGAGACTCAAGGGTCCCAGGTTCGATTCCGGTCAAGGGCATGTACCTTGGTTGCGGGTACATCCCCACTGGGGGGCGTGCAGGAGGCAGCTGATTGATCTCTCACATCGATATTTCTAACTCTCTATCCCTCTCCCTTCTTCTCTGTAAAAGATCAATAAAATGTATTTTAAAATATATATATAAAAGTTATGGATGGACAGAGACTTGACTTGGGGTAGTAAACACACAATATAGTGTACAGATGATGTTTTGTAGAGCTGTGCACCTGAAACCTGTATAATTTTGTTAGCTGGTGTCACCCCAATAAATTCATGTTTTTAAAAAGATATAGGGAAGTTATGGTTTGTACTTTAAAACACAACTCAAGAAAAGGACAGAAAAACTGATTTCCATTTTTTTCTTTAAAAACATTTTTTTTAAATTGATTTCAGAGAAGAAGGGAGAAGGAAAGTGATAGAAACATCAATGATGACAGAGAATCATTGACTGGCTGCCTCCTGCATATTCCCACACTGGGGATCAAGCCGGCAACCTGGGCATGTGTCCTGATTGGGAATTGAACCATGACCTCCTAGTTCATAGTTTGATGCTCAACCACTGAGCCATGCTGGCTGAGCAATTATTTTCCATTCTTGATCCTTAAAAGATCCTGCAGAATTTTCTGTTATTATTACAAGCATTACTTTTGTGAAGTATCTCATACATAGAAAGAGACTATATACATATGTATCTATATGCACAGATATATAGGTTGTCCCAAAAAATGTATACACACTTTAACAGCTGATAACTCACTTGATTTTCACTCCTTTTCAGGTTTAACTGATTTGAAATAATAGGTGAAGCCAGACTAAGTTTCGAACGAAGAAAACTCATCCTAAAGTGCCACTAGACTTTTTCAAAAGGGGATACATAAAAAATAAAGTTTACAGTATAAAACCAATGAATCGAAGGCATGCAAATTCTGAACAAAATGATTCTTGACGTTTGCGATTCCACTGCTTCGTGTTATCAGTAGTGCATGGACCAGAATCGTCATCGGTTTGAAAACAGGCAATGACAAAAAAATTATTCACTTCTGTACATACTTTTAAATTTTGAAATGGAATGTATGTTAATGAATAGTGAATTTAATCTGTTCACAAACTTACATAACATTCTTACACAGAGGCCATGACAAAAAAGATGAGGCAATCAGAACATTTTTAAGATCTCTCTCCATTATCTTGCAGAATCCTATAATCTGTCCTATTGAAACACCTTTCTAATTTTCTTGTTCTTTTAAAAATTCAGTAATTGTTTTTAATTTCTAGTACTAGATTCATGGGTAGTCTGTGAAATAACTACTGGATTTTACCCCCAGAAGTGTTTTCTAGGTGCATGTATATCCAAATATGACATTAAGACATTTTTTAGCCAGACCAGCATAGCTCAGTGGTTGATCATAGTAGATCTTTGAGGTCACAGTTTAATTCTCAGTCAGGGGACAAGCATAGGTTGTTGGCTTGAGCATGCAGGAGGCAGCCAATCAATGATTCTCTCTCATCACTGATGTTTCTATCTTTCTCTCCCTCTCCCATCCTCTCTGAAATCAATAAAAAAATTTTTTTAATCTTTTTTACATAAACTTACTATGGAAATATATCCAAAACAAGATAAGGAATGCAACCAATGTCTGCCTCCTTTTCAAACCAGAGTTCCTCAATCCAAAAACATCAAATGATCAATCATTCAATATCAAAGTACATTTTTTAGTTACGAAGTTGCATAAAAAGTATGAAGACATTATAGCTTCCTAAGAATAAGTAGTGGCAAAAACTCTGCAATTAAGTTATGAAACCTTAACTCCTAGGAATATGCTTCCCACCTCCTTCTTTGCCCTTTTGAAAGTCCCTACCATCATACAATTCATAGCTTCAACTGGATTAGAATACCTTCAAGGATAGAGCCCATATATTATTCATCTTTTTATCCCCTGAATTGAATTAACTCAATATTTGTTATAACTAAGATAAATTTCAGGAAATGAGCCTCATTTCCAATACAAAACTGGAAAGATATTAGTTTGAAAATAAAGATAACTAAAAGGAATAAATTTATAAAAATTTGTGCTGTATTATATTCTCTTACCACCTAATTCAGAATCACATACTAACACTGCAGAAATAAGTATGCAAAGAAATAAAAATAATTAAAAACATGGATCTTCAAGTTCTCCTTACTGTCAGCATGCTCAAATAAAGTCACAGAATCCTTCATCTTTTCAACTCATAACAGCATACTCACTCCCAAACAAAACTAGAAAAAAAAAGGCTTTCAAATGAGAACTGAATATAAATTGGTTCTATTTCATTACAATTTAAGTTCCTGAAATTGTATGCATAACTTGTGTGACTATTCTTATGCTCATTTTCTACAGTTGAGGAAGGGTCTTACACTAGATTCTCAGAAGGGTAAGTGTCCCCCAAAAAACTTTAAGAACCACTGATCTGGCACATCAAAAAATTCAAACTTCATGCCCTGACCGGTTTGGCTCAGTGGATAGAGCGTCAGCCTGCACACTGAAGTGTCCCAGGTTCGATTCTAGTCAGGGGCATGTACCTTGGTTGCGGGCACATCCCCAGTAGGGAGTGTGCAGGAGGCAGCTGATCGATGTTTCCAACTCTCTGTCCCTCTCCCTTCCTCTCTGTAAAAAAGCAATAAAATACATTTTTTTAAAAATTCAAACTTCCAGAGAAATAAAATTAAGTTGGCTTTATTCAAGTCATATTCATAAAGGAGATCCTTACTATAAATTAGCCTTTCGAAGAATTCCTTCAGTCTAGCCAAAGTTTCAATATCCATAGGCACATATAACAACAATTCCAAGATCCCCCAAATAGTTTACTCATAAATCCCCCCTTCCCCAAAAAAGCAAAAGACGACACACTCTATCACAACCTGGCTACCTACCCTGTTAAGAGTCTTAATTAAAAATACACTTCTGCCGAAACTGGTTTGGCTCAGTGGATAGAGCGTCGGCCTGCGAACTGAAAGGTCCCAGGTTCGATTCCAGTCAAGGGCATGTACCTGGGTTGCGGGCACATCCCCAGTGGGGAGTGTGCAGGAGGCAGCTGGTCGATGTTTCTCTCTCATCGATGTTTCTAACTATCTCTCTCCTTTCCTCTCTGTAAAAACTCAATAAAATATATTTTTAAAAAAATACACTTCTATCCTTTCATATTAAAATGTCTGGAAGATCTAAATACCCTCCAAACCGAATATTTTTAGGAAGGTTTTCTAGTTTCAATTCCACACTGACTTGTTTGCCTCGCTCAAGTTAATATGTATCTCTGTCAAGACAAGTCCCCCTTCATATGTACTCAGGTTGTTTCAACAGGGTCACCTTGATTATTCTCAGCCTAAGGCAGGACAATTTATTAAGAAGTTATTAAATATTTGTTGACTGAATGAAAGATCCTTCCTCCCAAAGATTTAAAGTTAAGCTGTCAAAATAAAAATTAAGCTGTCAGAGCCCATGCAGCTGCTCTGGTACAAGTTATGCTATGAAAGATCCCTCTCTCAAACACACAAGCCTAACTGTCAAAAATGCTCTGCTTCTCCCGTAAACAAAAAATAATAGTCATGGATACACATTTTCATACAGGTCAACCTGAGCAAGGACAACATACATTCCATATACATGTCTGACACAATTGATCGGTACCAAATATATTATCCAACCAGTCACATATGCCCCTATCTTTCCAATAAACTCAAGATTTGCCTGTCAAAGACCTTCAGAGGCTCCATTCATTGTATGATGGAAATACTACTTGAGTAGTGGTCAAACCACTGAATTATAAAGCAACTTTGTCCCCAACTTAACTTGCGACCTTGGAAAAATTATCTCGTTATGCCTCAATTTCCTATTCTGTCAAATAGGAGAAAACATCTATCCTACCATTTTCACAGGTATTTAGGATCACACACACACACTGCAAGTGCAGTCTGAAAAATACAAATGCTTTACTCTATTATAAAGTGTTGATATAAACTCAGGTCCGCAAAAAGGCCAAGCATTCTTTATACCCTCACAATAATTGTGCTGTTAAAGATGGTCTGGGCCCTTGCATTTACACGATGCACTCTATTAGAGAAACCAACTATTCCCAAGACCACACCTGGCTCTGACAGGCTTCTCCCATCCCTGACCCCAACACACACACACACACACACACACACACACACACACACGCGCGCGCGCGCTAGTGTGTCTACAATACTACTGCCCTGACTGCTCTTCCCCAACAAGTAATAACGCACTCGCTCCCAAACCCTAAAATACACACGCATGTCAATCAGCAGGGAACAACATCCCACGTTTTATTTTTAAAATAAGCTAACTTACAGGGGGAACTCCATTACCCTTATACAAATACAAGCAAACTCTTCCGGAACACTTTCCTTCCTTACACACACACACACACACACACACAGCCGCTCTATACCAACAGACCATCTGTCTTCTAGACGAAAAACATGTCTTTCCATGTACAAACTAACCAGTAACATTTATTCAACTTAGAACCCTGAGATCGTTCTGTCGTTCGCTGCATGCAGTTCAGCGGGTCAGAAGCACAACAGACCTGACCGTGCAGGCAAACTACCCTCCGAAGATCGCTGCTCCGGCCACTCTCCTCCCCGTAACAGACGGAGCCCGGACCCGGGGGGATGCTCCCGTCGGGCCCACGCCACACGCGAAATAAACCTGTCAGGGACACGGGCGACTCCGCCTCCGCTGGCTGACTTTCCCGCCCCCCGGCCCCGCGCCAGGAGCCCGCCAGTGAGGGACACCCCTTCGGCCCCGCCAGGAGGGACTTCCCGATGAGCTCAGGATCCCCTGCCCTGCGCTCCCCTCCCCCATTCCCGCCGCCGCTCTCCCGGAGGCGCGGGTCCGGGAGATGACAGGAGCGCCCCGGCAGCCAAGGGCTGAGTAGCGGAGGAATGACTTAGGCCCCAAGACCTCCCCCGGCGGTTCTACTCACCGTGTCAGAGGCCGAGGCCCAGCGATGAGAGTGCAGGGAAGTGGGGAAGAGGGGACGGCCGCCACCAGGCTCCTCCGCTTCCCCGGGTCCACAGCGGATCCCTCTCGCTTGTCAAGAGGCGGCCGGCGGGGGAGCGGACTGGCGGAGACGGGAGAGAGGAGAAGAGAAAGGCGTGGGGCTAAAGCTAGAGAAACTGAGGGGAGGTGGGTCCCGCAACCGAGATGGGGATCGTCTCCCCCTCCGCCAAGCGAACCCAAAATGGCGGCGGAGTGGCGGCGGCAGAGCGGCGGCGGCAGCTCCTCGGGAGGGAGGGAGGGAGGGAGCGAAGGGCGC